TACAAAAAAGAAATAAGAATAAAAAAATAAACATTTTAAAGTCATGGATTAATGAACATCAAACAGAAATAACAATTATCTCGTCACTTTATAAAATATATTTCCGAAATAATTAGGTTTATACAATTCATACTTAATTCGATATTATTGTTTTTAAATAATAAACCATATTAATGTCATTTCATCTATAAAGAAAAACAATGCATAGTTGTCTGATAAGTTATTTTAGCAGAAATTCAGCATACATTTTGTAATTATGAAATATTTGAATGGACATTTGAAGACTAGTGGAATTTCAGTTTTTTTCCCCCTTTTTGTTGTTTTTGCCTGTGGCGGCTGCTTATCAGTAATTGTTTGATTTTCGTTTTATTTATTCCGTGTCATAAAAAATAAATATTAATTGAGATTATCGCAATGTGATATTGCTATATTTACACGTTATAATTAATTGTTCTTATTTATTGAATTTCTACAGCCCCCTGATGATTCTGCGCCTGTTCACGGTTTAAATTGAGTTATTCGCACGGCAAGAAATAAATACAAAAATGTGCATAAAATTAAACTTGTTTAAATGACATTAAATGTGGTTTTTTATTGAGCTTTCATTTTGTTTCATTTTTGGCCTCTGCTCGCTCATCCACAAAAAAAATATGCAAATTGTTATTGGTTGTGCGTGTGTGTTGTGTTTGTGTGTGTGAATATATATTATAATTTATCTGCATGTTCGGGCCGCCCTGTGGCTGGCAGCATAAATTAATTATCAAAAGCATTCATTTACATGGCTGACTGCGCGATCCGACACCCGCTGGCAGGCGGCACCCAGGCTCATAGATACTGTATCTCACGGATACACAATATATGTACATATATGCATGCAGCCCCCCGGACCAGAGTCAATTTGAAAAACATCATCACAATCAATTTGCTTCGTTTCTCGTGATGGGAATTAAGTTTTTGTATATTTGTGTATCTCTCGGTTTTTGCCTCTGCATCGTCAGATGTTGTTTTTGTACTTTTTGTAGTTGTTGTAGCTGGCCCACATTATCTAGTGAACGGTGAACGCTTTCGTGCCCCTGTTGTTGTTGTTCCTGCCTTCCTACATGTGTTTAGCGTGTTCAGAAATTTGCTTTTTTAATGACGCTCTTGTTGATTGCCGGCTATTTGTTATTAGCCTCCGAACGACCCCCGTCGACGGCTGCCCTTGTTTTTAGCTGATTTGAAATTTTTGTATTTGGCAAATTTAATGCAATTTTTTAATAGTTCGAATTGCTTATTTATGGTCCGTTTCCCTTGATTTAGTGGTGCAAACATTTTTCGCTATTGTCGTCGATGACAGCAAATGGATTTAGATGAACGCATATACAATTTATTCAAATTTGTTTTATATTAATATTCGTTTTAAGTTATTTGAGTTTTTGGTCGCTCTGGCTTTTATAAAAGTAGCTCAATTTAAAATGGTTCTCAAAAAACATCATTAAAATATAATAAGTAAATTATTATAAAATATTACAGTAATCATTTAAATTTGTCATTTAAAAAACAGTGATTATTTCAGTTATTCAATCTTAAATGAGTCAGAAAACTATAGTTTGAGCTATAGTCTATGATTTATTGAGATTGGTTTAAATTTCTAAAAATTTCTTACTCATATCGTCGATAACAACCAGTTGATTTTTGTTTTGATTTACTTATCTTATGTTCTATAAAGTATGGAATAATTTTAGTTATCTTATCTTAATGAAATTTAACGCAAATAAATCACAGAATTAACTCGTGTTTTAGTTTGTCATAAACGTATAATAACTGTATGCAGCTATTTTACTAAGTGTTATTATCAACGAGAGATACAAATTTAAATTCAGTTAAAGCTTGTGCTCAATATCAATAAAATATATAATCTTGACTAATTTCTAATCAAAATAATTCCTTTATTGTATTTGAGAGTGTATTATTTTTTGTAAACTTAATAAACAGAATCAATTTCATTTGAATTCCGTGAAATTAAAATGACTTCAATTTGAGTATTCCCTTGACGGTCGGTTGTCAATGCAGAGAATACGAAATATAATCCATTTTCACATTGCTGGAATTGAAATTGAAATTGCAAACTTCGAGCGGGCTGCTAATTCGCATGGGCGGACAGATAGGCAGTTAGACAGGCGGAAAGTCAGACGGGCGGGGGCGGAAACGAACCGACTAACAAACGAGCAAACGAACAAACGTTTGTCACTGTCGGGCGTTTTATGAAAATTGAACAAATCAATTAAGTCTAATCGTGCCGTTGGGTGGGGCAACAGTAGTCGGGGGCTCTGGCATTTTGTTTGGCCCCCTGACAAATGGACAAATAAATGTCTGCACACGGGCCAATGCCAGATTGCTTTGCTTGCCTATGCTGCTTCTGGCTAAAATCGAGAGAACACAAATAATATATACAAAGCACAGCAAAAGCAGTAACAACGCCGGCACATGCTACAAATTATGAACACTGTAATTATATTCGTATAATATTTTGTCAGCCAATTGACACATTTGCCGTAGGAGGAGAGGGCGAAGGAAAGAGCCGGGGAGCAACGAGCAATTACGTCCGGGCTCTTAGCAAATGCGACGACCAAAGTCGGTTAACGTGGCTGTTGGCTGCAATTGCTGGCCGCCATCTGCGGTAGTTGCGGTTACAGTGGGACAACGCTAGTGTGCACGGCTATAAGCCAATATATATATCTTTGACGAATTTTACCAACCTTAACGATTTATACATAGTCACCATCACATCGATTTATAACAGCAAACTTTCTTGCCATGTGTGTAAATACATTAAAAAGAAAGGTACCAATTTTAATATTTGAGGCACAATTTAAATATTCCGTGTTATGGCTTTTAGACCTTGGGTTTTAAAGCTCAAATATTTTTTTTTTCAAAGTTGTACAGCTAAGAAAGCAAGTTGTTATAAAAGGCGTAGGAAAGTTTTTAGGTTAAAATCTAACCAAAGCTCCCAGCTTAGTTGGCTTGCGACTCTTTGAAGTTCTCTTGCCCGAATCTTAACTGTATTTGACGGTTTGGCTTGGCTATCTTGCTGACTTTGCTGGCAACTTTTACCGGCGCACAGTGTGACAAATTATTATGTATGTAGGAATGGGTATGCTGGCATGTTCCCCGGTTCGTTTCCATATCTATGTGCATGCAGTTTTACACACAAGCTCGGTTCAGTTTGGCTCGCTCGACGCTGGTGCTAATGACCGTAACTAAGTTGGCGTCACGATTGTGTGCGCCACTGGAAGCCAGCTTCCCCCGGCAAACTTGCCCTCCCCCCTCCTCACACCCTTCTGTTTGCCACTTTCTGTGGTTTACTTTGTTGGCCCGACCATTTGTGTAAAATATTTTAATGTTATGGCCGGGCCAAGAGAGCGCTGTCTAATAGTCGCTTAATTGTATATGCGTGTGCGTAGCTGTAGCTGTAGCTGTATCGGTAAGTGTATCTATGCATTTATGACTAAACAGTTGTTAAAATAAACACTTTTGGGATGTTTACCCGAAATGCGTCTGCAATGTTTACTTAATTAAAGAAAAAAAACGAGCAAACGAAACGAAAACCAAATCGACAACGCTCTCTGCGCGAGATATAAACTTGAATTTAAATAAACTTGAGATAAGGCGGTGAAGATTTTGCTTCCGGAATTAGTTGAGAATTTAAATTTACTCAGAATAGCAAAAAAAAATTAAATATATGGAAGTTCGTAGGAGAGAGATAAAAAAAGCGCAGAATAATGTCGGTGCTAGTCACATACACTTGAGTAAAACTACAATTTTCTATATGTTTCTTAACAAAATATATAATATATATAATATATTCACTAAATATCAAAAAACAAAACTGTAAACTTCAAAATTTAATTCACTTTTTCTTATTTAGTGCTCTGAATATTGTTAAATATTACATTACAAAAAATTTTTGATTCAATTTACTTTATTCACTGTTTTACCTACTTGAATTTATCAGGCGTTCTGGCCAAAAACCCACACACACACGCGACATTCATTTTCATAAATGCAAAACACGCCCAGTGTCTCCCCCTCTGCCCGTGCGCCCATCAGCACCACCACCCCCACCCATTACCCATCGCCTTGCTTTGTTTATTGCTCATCGTTCGGCTGCTCGTTCGCCGTTTTCGCTGTTTGCTATTCGGTTCGCTTGACGCGTCGCCGCAGGCTTCATTAAGCGAGCGTGATTCCAATTCGCATTTCCATTTGGACTCCGATTCCGATTCCCAAGCCCCACCACACCCCCTTGATGACCCGCGAATTCCGCTTGTCTTCCCACATTACGCTTGCAAAACGAAATTCCAATTCATTGGTGCCAAACAAAAACCCAAATTAAATCCACTTCAATAAATCTCAAAAAGGTAACATAAAAAACACACACCAGGCCTGTCAATTTTCTAATCGCCCGAAATAACATCAAAAAACTCCATTTAATTACAAATCGGCTTAGATTGAAACGCCTTAATTGGCATTAACTCGGAAAAAAAATGTTTGTTTGTGTGTGTACATGAAATACTTGTGTAAAATGCGGCAGCGGTAAGTGGCAAGCGGTAATTAATCAAACTGGAAATCAATTTAGGCTCGCGCTGTTCTCTCTTTCTATATCTCTCTCTCTCTCTCTCTCTATTTGTCGCTATCTCTATCTCTGCTGCGCGAGCGAGAGAGAAACTGTGAAGTATCTCTAAGATACATATGTAAGATTTACAATGGGTATTTTATTGCTATTTTTACGTAAATACATTAGAATAGGAAGTTTGTTATCGAAGTTAATATATTTTAAATTTATTTTAATCCGAAGGAACTTTTAAATTAATTCATTATTTATTGTATGCTTTTTTCAAAATTATGAATCAATTTAATGTAATAATAATATATTTTAAGAAAAAAAATATAATTTAAATAAATAATAATTATATCAAGTAAATGTATTATTGTTTTGAACTAATACTTTATGAAATATTTACCTTTTTATAAATCCAAAATAGTCGCAATTTCTGCTCTGGATATGCTCGTTCCCGATTTATAGACAGCATCCAAGATGAAGATTGGGTGCGGGGGTTGGGCGGCAATGGGCGGTGGGCAGGTGATGATTCCTTAGCTTGCTGGCCTGCTCGCACCCACAGTGAGTGGTAAGGGAGTGGTGGGTGGAGAACGAGAGAGCACGCGAGAGGGCGTAATAATCCACAAAAGAAACTCCCAAACTCCCAGCTCCCCAGCTAACGGAAGGTAAAATGTAAATCCGCAAAATTTTCCTAGCAGCGCAATCTCAGGAATTATTTTCCATTTATGTAAGAGCGAGAAAGAGATAGAGTCAAACTTGGCTTTTCCTTCTGCTTTCCACTGATTCTGCTGGATTCTTCTGCTGCTTCTTCTTGTTTTTCACTTTGACACTTTTTGCATTTGCTTTTCTTTTCTATTTTTTTTTTTTTTTGCGACAAATGTATGAACTTTTTTATGAGGTTAGTTGTTGTTTTTTTTTCTTCTTTTTTTCTCTACAAATACACGAAAAAACGGCACTTTGAGTAAGGCGAGGGAGGGCTAAAGAGAGAGAACGCGTGTCCAAGCTCTGTTGCCTTCTCTCTGCATGTACATATGTATTTGGCAGAACAGAAGCTGCTCCACCGCACACATACAAGTGCACATACATTGATAGAGAGGCAGTGAACAGAGCTTGGGGCATAAAAAAAATACACGGGGGAGTTGTTGCACGACAAAGCGACAGAGAGAGAGCGGGCGAAAGAGACAGAAAGAGACTAAAGGACCGACGGACTGACGCGTCGCGACTTCACCTTGCACACGCGCGGAAATTGGCGAGAGCGACAAAGCGACGACGAGTTCGTCGTTTGTCGGCGTTCTTTTACCGCAATGTTTGTGCGAAACATAAAAAAAGCTTTGCACATACAAAGCGGGAGTGAGCGAGAGAGCGAGCGTGAGCGAAAGGAAGGGCAGCACTCACACACACACAGTGGCTGTATAGTAATTTTATTCCGGTACTATTTGCTGTTGTTGTTATTGCCAGCAACATATTGCCTGTGCCACACTCTCATTTTGGTTCCTCTCCTTTTCCTTTCTTTTTTTACTACTACTTTTTAGTAGTATTTCTTTTTTTTGGTGATGATGATTACGCTGCTCTTTTCACACACACACGCACGCACAAGTCAGGCCCAAGTGGGTAATTTGTTTTATGAGTAGCGGCAAATAGCACTTGTGTATGATTGTCGCTCTTCTCCTTCTTGTTGTTGTTGTTACTCTTCTTCTTTTTGTTGCTGATGTGAATGACAGACAGCTACGAGTAATAATTTTTAATGCGTTTTTGGCATTTCTACGCTGCTTTGGGTTAATTGCTTGAAACGCGACGAAACACTAAGGCACGCACACAGATACGCGATACGCCAGAGAGCGAGAGGGCAACAACACTTTTTATTGTTGTTGAATTAAATTGAATGCACATGATGAAGAATACACTGTGGAGCGACTTTGCTTACTTTTTTCAACTGATTTAAATCCTTGTTTGTTTTTTTTTTGGATTGTTGTTTTTGTTTAATTACAGATAGAACCTGATCCGCTCAGTGTTTTTTTATGTTTTTGTTTGGCGACAGCGTTTTATCCGTGCTGTCCGAACGAAGCGAAGGAGCAACGCGTACAAACGCGCATAAATTGAGAGGCGAGAGTTGGCTAGCAACGAGCAGGGTTGTCAGGTATGTGTTGATAATGTAATAATATTATTTGAGTGTGGATGTTTTCACAGAAGGGTTGTTAAAGCTATTAAAAAATATATTCCCTATTTGTAAGTTATCTTTAGAATATTTAAAATTAACATAGCTATCAGGATACTGACAAATAAGCTTTAATTGTTTTATTTTTGGCCCAACATGACAACCCTGCGGCATTTTCTACACATACATAGGCCTCGAAAGGCGCACACACAGGCATTCCCATGCACATACACAAGCGCTCTCTGAGCGGCATTTCTTTAATGGCGGCTTTTCGCTCTTGCTTTTGCGCTCTTAAGTGCTCCCTCTCTCACCAGCTCTCTCTCTCTGCTGACGCCATATTGCGCAGTTATGTATGTTCATCTCTTTCCAATTTGTTTACAGTACCGTCGTGTGGTCTCTCACTTGTCCGTCGTTGTTGTTGCTCTTGTTATTGCTATGCCTCTGCAAATTGTTTTTGGTGGGGTCCTGAGGATTGATTACTGATTGGCATGTCGTTCGCCTATAGTCAGTTTCCTTTGTTGTAGTTGTAGTTGTTCTTCTTCTTCTGTTTCTCTTTCTTATTGTCTTTCACCTTCTCACCACACGCACACCCCACACGCAGGCAAACACGCACACACACACCTTACCACCTCATCCTGCGGCCTTTTTTGTTGTTATTTTCGGGAGGCGGTTGGGGGAGTAGCATATAATGACATAATGAGATTTATTAGGCGCAAAATAAAGCCATAATGTTCCATTTGACCTTTGTGTAACTTTGACAGTGGTAATTTTCGCCTTCCTGTGGCAACCGGCTTATTATTTCAATGACGGGCGATGGATATCCTGCCTTTATGTATATGTATGCATGTATGTGAGGATATACGCAGAGCATGGACATTTGCAATTCGTCATCAGCATTTTGGAAGTTGCCTTTGGCACTCATCGAAGCAAAAGGCAAATAAATTCCACTTTGCCTAAATTTCTTTGCAGGAGCGTATAGAAAAGTCATACGAAAATTATGGGTGACATAGTTCCATTTATTCAATTGCAATTGTTAACACTTAATAGTTTCATAATGTTAACATGTATACGTTTACGTTTAGTTAAAGTCGCCGAAAAAAAGTGTTGCCTACTTATGGGCTTGTAAAGTAATAAAGTGTCAATATCAAATCACCATTTTTGTAGCATACTTTGTTAGAACATTATTTAACCGAATGGTTTATTAAAGATTTATTAAGCTTAAGTTAACATTAAACGTATACCATAATTTGCAAAATGTAAATCATTAAAATCTTAAATAATTGTTATTAAAAGAATAATACAAAATATCGTAACCGGTATCATATTTCCCTTTCGAATCCAGCCCTGCTTCATAATATTTTCATCGTTTTCCTGGATGCCTTCTTCGCCGCTTCCCGCTGGCTTTTCCTCTGTTGGAAAACTTGTTTGTGCTTTGCAACCAAATATACTTGGGCAAAGTGTTTGCTGCTTGTTTTTCCATTGGCATTCGTGCACGCTCTCTCAATTTTATTGCTGTGATTGTGATTTCTAGTTGGATTTGACTATGCACGCATACTCACATCGAAGGCATTTGGGGAATTGATATCCTTGTGCGCTTTTTGCAAGAGTTCAAATATTTTTCATTTTATTGCTGACACACAAACACAGGAACTGGGTGGCCAGATGGGGGAGTGTGTGGTGGAAGGACACGCACGTCCTGGGCCCAAGGGTGCTCAGGCAAACAACATTTGTCAATGCTGGCAATATTTCACTCCGGAATGGCCCGTTGCCACTGGATGCCCTTAGTTTACGGCTCAGTGCCTGGCCAAAGGACCAAAGGACCTCAAAAAGCCTCACAAATCCTGACCGTACAGTTGCGGGCGAAAAAAAGGCAACTGCAAATGTAACGTTAAGAATGCAATTACCAGAACACTTTGAACTTATTTAAATTGTTTGACAATCATATATTCAGTTTTTAGAAATTTATTTTTGTTTCTTTAACAGTGTTTCTCGCTTAACTGCAAAGTAAACTGCTACTCATTATATTACAGAAAATAATTTCTTATGTTCTGAATACATTTTTAATGTAGTTGATATTAGACTTTCTTTAAATGAATTAATTTAATTTTAATTAATTTATAAACGACCTGATAATATAAACTTAAATTTTCTGGTGTGCTTTACAAAATAGAATTTTAGAAATATATTTTATAAATTTTAAGGCACAGCCACTGTAACTTACATATATGTTGCCTGTCAAAATGGAAATAATCCCCCAAGTGGCGTTTGCTTGTGTTCGTTGTTGGCCAAAAATGTTGCACATCGATTGAGCCAGACATACATATTATATGTATATCCATTCGCCCGCACCGACAAATTATGTAATTATGTTCGTTGAAAAGTGGCCAAATAAATAGAACTCGAATGGGAATGCTAATGAAGCCATTATTATTTTATGCGCTATTTAAACAAGACCGGCCGCCCAGCCCCTCGACCCGCCCCCCAAGGACACTGTATGAATAATAAGAGGACGCCACTTCAGCTGGCGGATAAATAAATATTAATGCCAACATGTGCGGGGCGAAAACTCATCCTTGAGCCGGTCGGTCACTTGTACTTATGGAAAATGTGGAAAGCGAAATGAAAAGCGTTGCGCTCTGTGATTTTGACAGTACCCATTCCTTTTTTGCCACATTTTGTTGCCAAATATGATTTCATTGTGCTCAAATTGAATTAAATTCTTGGAGTGTGACGTGCCCGCCCTCGAAATGCCCTGTCCCCTGTCCCCCCGAAAACGCCATTCGAAAATTCGCAGCTGCCACGACTCTATCTGCATCGCTCCATCTCTGTTATTTTTTGGGGCGCTGTCTCTTTCTGCTCGGGTATTTCCCTTTTGGTAGCTGTAGCTTTCTGAACGGAAGCGGATATTTTCAACGCGCGCCATTGTTATTTTTTGAGTGCGGGAAATTGTTCGCCCCAGCACTTCTCCTCGTCCCTCTCTCTTTCCCTCCGTTCCCCCTCTTTCTCCGGGTGAAAGCAAACGAAGCGAGGGACCGACCAAAACGTCGTCCTTTTTGCTGGCACTACTTTCTCCCACTCTTTTACTCTCTGTTCTTCTGTCTCTTACGCTTTATCTGTGCGTGCATGGGGAGAAATTTCAAAATCCCAATGGTTATTAAGAAGCTTTGGATTAAAAAAAATAAAATAAAATCTATTGAGTATGGAATTAATATTGAATTATCGAACTTTTAGCTAACTAATTAAATAAGTTATTCATTTTCTTTATTTTGCCAATCGATTTAAGTCTACCGTTTTAATTAAAACTTTTTTTTTATTTAATATTTTTTTGTAATAATTT